CAGGGCTTGGAGTAATATTTCCATCCCCCTCAATAGGCTTGGGTTCCAGGGATGAATTATCGTCAGTTGTCCATGATTTTGCAGATGAGGAAACTGAGAGCCAGAGAGGGTGGAGGGCTGTCCAGGGGAGAATGGGATATCCTTCCAGGAACCCTGGCTCCTGGGTTTTTAATGAGCTTCCTACCCAGCCTGGTCATTAACTGGCAAGTGTTGACATTGAGAATAAACTGTTGGTGGAAATGTAAAAGGCTTTTTGAAAGAATGTGCCTACCAGCTGTGCATCTTATAGAGTATTTTCATTGTACTCCCCAACCCTTGGAAAGTGCTGGGCACAGGGCAGATGCTTCATCATTTTTATTGAATATGTTCAATTTCACATAATAATATCCATAGTGGCAGTAACACTATGAGGTATATTAGAACTCCGATTGTCACAGTTGGTACTTCACAGATCAGTAAAGAAAGAAAACTTTTTATTAGGAAGACTGTAAGAGAATTGCTAAGTTTTAAGTTTATCCCACAAGGATATTTTAAAAAAATGAAACAAATCTCTCCGATCATCACCAAGGCTATCGGAGGTCTGTTGAGGACCCCACGCAAGGGAGGTTCTGCCTCTTGGGACACCCCTGCTTCAGCATCTCCCTAAGCCAGCAACCTGGGACAGCTGAGTACACTTGAAGTTCCTTCCTTGACCTCGGGAGTTTTTCTGGAAGACAACTTTTTGACAGACAGGGTTGGGGGGAGGTTTTGGGATGTTTCAAGTGCAGGGCATTTATTGTGCACTCTATTTCTCTTTCTGTTCCCTGGTGGCTCAGTTGGTAAAGAGTCTGCCTGCAACGCGGGAGACCCGGGTTCAGTCCCTGGGTCGGGAAGATCTCCTGGAGAAGGAAAGGACAGCCCACTCCAGTATTCTTGCCTGAAGAATTCAATGGACTGAGGAGCCTGGTGGGCTACAAAGGGTTGGACATGGCTGAGTGACCGAACACTTACATTTAGTGTTATTTCATCAGCTCCACCTCAGATCATCAGGCATTAGATCCTAGAGGCTGGGGGCCCCTGCTTTAGTTCCCTCTTTCATCCTCTACACAGCTCCAGCCTGCTTCCTCCTCCTCTTGCCGGGCTTCTCTGAGTGTGACTAACAGTCTCTTTCTCTCGGAGTCCCATCTCCTAACTGGGTTTCCCTTATCTCCATTTAGGCACTTTTGCCCCAGGTGGTGCTAGTGGTAAAGAACCTGCCTGCCAATGCAGGAATCCTATCCCTGGGTTGGGAAGATCCCCTGGAGGAGGGCACGGCAACCCACTCCAGTATTCTTGCCCGGAAAATTCCCATGGACAAAGGAGCCAGGCTTCTCATTGCAGCGCTTTCTCTGGTTGCAGAACTTGGGCTCTGGAGCATGCAAGTACTTCAGTAGTTGTACGGGGGCTTCGTTGCCCCTGGGCATGTGGAATCTTCTAGGACCAGGGATTGAACCCGTGTTCCCTGCATTGGTAGGCAGATCCTTTACCAACGGACCACCAGGGACATTTCCTGTTCTCTTTCATTAGAGAACGATATTTAAAACATACATGTAGGAGCTAAATATGCTCAGCTTACAATACTTGGAAATATATACATGTATTCCAGCTTACCTTTGAACATATTCAGTTAAAGGTAATTTGTGATGATGTCTCCATGGATCTTGTAACCGTTCCTTTTGTTTATCCGTAACTTCCCACACCAATGGTAAGTAAGATACCTGGCTCCCACCACTTGTCATGTATAGAATTCAGTGCTTGTCCCATGTGGTTACTGAAAAAAAACTGTCCTCCAAAGGTGGCTGCGCATGCATCCCACCAGTATCTTGAGTATGTTTCTGTAGGAGAGTTTACTATCAGTATACCCTCCATGGTCCGGTGTCTATTTCAGTCTTTACCAGTTATGAATGGGCTTGTTTGCTCTAGTGTTCTTGGACAATTTGAGTACAGATTCTTTGTCAGATATGCGTTTTTTAGGAAAATGATTTTATTTATTTTTGGCTGTGTTGGGTCTTCGTTTGTGGGCTTTTCCCTAGTTTGGGTGAGTGTGGGCCGTAACTAGTGGTGTGCGGGCTTCTTACTGCAGTGGCTCCTCTTGTTGTGGGGCAGAGGCTCAATCTATACAATAAACCAAACCAAATCAAATTATTAGAATTAAAATATCTCATTCAGAGAAGTTAAAAACCACAGAACAGAATACAGAAAAACCAAGGATTTACAACTAGAGAATACTGTTAATTAAATATATCCTAGTCTCTAAAATTCTATTATAAGTTTTTTCTTATTCAAAGATTTGCTGAATCTTAAAGATTCATTTTTACCTGAGATGGAAGAAAAATTCTTAAAGCCCATCACTTCACGTTTTGGCTTGATTGTTTCTAAGAGTTCTGGAGCTGAAATAAATATGCACTTTATATATGCAGTTACTTTTTATTAATCAAAGGAAGAGACACTTCTATATGCACCTACAGCTCTAGAATGTTATTAATTAATGATAAAACTAAACTCGAAACTTTCAGTAACTTTCATCAGAAGAAAACAAAATTCTTAATTAATGGTTTCAGTAGAAAATAATTCAACAACATGGAAAATCATATTTTCACAGCTATTAACACTATTCTGTAGCTCCCCTCAATACCAAGAAAACCTTATGATAAACACCATGTTTTTGCTCAACACATACAATTTGTCCAAGTACCACAAAACACTTAAACCTGAAAAAAGCAGAATTATGTATCAGAGCACTTAAACACATTCTGTTCTTAAACAAAGTTCTGTTAATGGTAAAAGCAAGAACATGAAACCTATGTGGAGGACACAGGAAGACGTTTTAATAGTTCAGCACTTTTAAAGGATAAGTACTGGGTAAGTAGACTAGAAACAATTAGACTCCAACCCATTAAAGACCATGGCTCCACAGGGTGAGCTGAGCTAAGGAGGGCCTGGCTTGCCCTGGCCTGTGGCATCACTGCTCAGGGGAAGCCAGGGCTCCAGGCAGGCACGCGATAGACAGGCTGCTACCCAAGGAGGATAGCATGCCAGTCAGGGGGTGGAGGCAACGCCAGAGGGAAGGAAAAGGATGCTCTCTCTCAGGGGCCCTGGTCCCACAAGTCTAAAGCCCATGAGGCCAGACAGTGAGAACCCTGAATCCCACACTTAGAATCCTATGCGACACAGGCTCACTTGCTCGTGAAGCCCATCCAGGTTTGTGACCACACAGACAAGCTGAGTGCTGGAGATGGAGACGATGGGCTTTGTTTCAGAAGGGCCACTCGCTTGGTCTTCGCGATGTCCTTGAGTGATAGAAAGATCTTTGCTGCAGTTACCAAAGGCTTTTTAATATCCTTAGCACTTTCATTTAGAGATGGGCCTGAGTAAAGGCTGAAAAACGATTTCAGCAATAAAATGTTTCCAGCTGCAAGATACATGAGCATGTAACTCAACACAAAATGCCAGCTGTCTACAAAGTATTAAGTGAAAGTTAACTCAAGAAAGGATACCATATCCTGTCTCTCCAGGTAGGTGTGAAAAACAGAAACAGGACAAACTTTGATCCTATGTGCATTTCCCCTCCTTGACTTAAGTAACAGTCAGAAAGAAAGCAAGAGGTCCCGAAACTAAAGGAAAATTAAGATCCGGAACATCATAGGTTTTAAAAAGTTAATTAACTGCTTAAGGTAAACAATTTACTGTATTTACTTAATAAATTATTATCATAAGGGTAAAAAATAAAAGTCTCAACCTCAATTATGCTTCAAGTAATACAAATGACATAAGTGTTCTCTGCATAATGGACTGCTACAAGGGGAAAAAAAACCTAAGAGAAGGGCACTTGCATCGAGAAAAGAATGGAATATTCTAGGTGTAAGAATAATCATTGGCTGGCATCTTGCTGAGGATGATGAAGCAAGCCCAGGCCTCAGAGGATCATGTCAAGTCCATGGTGTCCCAGGAACTGCACGATCTTCATGAACAGTTTCATAGGGAAGGGTGCTCTACTGAGACTCCTCTGAGTAGAGGGAGGCAAAGGAGGAAGAGGAGAGGAACTTGGATGGAGCACCATTATCTGCTGGGCACCTTCGTTATCAGTTTGCTAGGCAAGAAATCTCTTTACTCCTCACCTCACAACAAGCACACGAAGAAGCTGTGTTCCTATTTTACAGACGAAGAATCTGAGATTCAGCCAATTTCCCTAAGACCACAAAATTAAAGAGCAGCAGGGCCAAGGTCTGACTTTGACTTGAAGCCTGTGCTTTCTCCACTGAAACACTCTCCTCCAGTTGACAGAGTGCTTCTGTGTCCATGGATGATGGCTTCTCCATGTCATCTTTCCTACACTTCCGCTCACGCTCTCTTATACTCATCACCTTGAACTGGCTGGGGTGTGTGTCTATCACTGAGCTGTCTGTGCAGCAATCATCTCTGAGGCCTGAAGCGGACCTGGTGGGGCCGGGTGCTCAGCACTGGACCACTGTGGCTTTATGCACAAAAACTGATCAGTCCTCATAGGCATGTGAATACCTAATACAGCCAAGCTGAAAAGGGTTTCTGAAACGAAGGCAAGGTTAATCAATTTTACAAGGCCTTCTAATCTCAGCTATTTGGTGTTTTTCAATTTCCAAATATAAGGAAAAAATATGCATATTTTTATCATCTTCATTAAAATGATCATCTCTGTTTTATGGTGCCTCTGTATTAGAGGCACCTTACAAAGATTCTGGTTTTCCTAAGGGAAAATGAGGTCAATGAGGTGCTTTTCAAAAGGACAAAGCAATGAATATGTGACAACTGATGCCCCTAAATGTCACATAAACAAGAGTGAAAAGGAAATCCAGTGCAATGGATAGAAACTTGGGAAGTTGGACTATAGTCCTTGCATCAACCTCTCATGACCACATGGGCTTTAAAAATCTTGGCACATTTAGCTTAACCTATCTTTAATTCATTTCAGTCTTGATTAGGGATGAGCACCAGCCGGCCCTCACCTCCTTGACAAATATGGAGTACTGCGCCAGAATCTTCAGCGTCAGTCTCCACAGTCGATGCGCCAGCAGCGGCAAGAACATCTTGTCAGACCAGCACCTCCGAAGCTTGCTCCACGTTCTATGAGAAGCCAAAAGGCGATACGAGCTCCCAGCTAGAGGTAAAAACGCACAGTTAAGGAGTCACAGCGGAAGGGCTAACAGCTAAAATCTTCAACGGACAAGCCAAGAGTGAAGCCAATGACATTCTGAAGAATCCTATGAGGTCAGCGAGGATTTAGGGAGGTGGAGTGGACAGCCAAGAGGCCTGTAACGCTGTTTTCTAATTTTCCATGACTCCTTCTCCCAGGTATCTGATGCATATTAAACATATATAACAATCAGAAATAATCAGTTAACAGGTACTTTATAATAAAGCAACAAATGCGAATTGGAGTGGCAGTCACTTGCAAGGGTTTAATCTTTGGTTTTGAATTTGTCCTGCCTTCTCTTCCACTCCTGAATGTGCTATTTAAATATAGGAAGTCAATTACACATGGCTGCTTTTGCGAAGACAGCTGAAAATGAACTTTTGAGGCTAAAAGAGTGCAGTTTAGGTGGAACTTGGCCGAACAGAAGGGAGCACAGTGGAGTGGAGCTTTGTGGCTACAGGAACAGCCACCTAGGTGAGCAGTCACCAGGGACGCCTAACGCATGACTAGATGCAAACACGTCTGGAAAGCGTAGGCTGACCCCAGTCACCTGCCCACTGTGCCAGGACTGGGCCAAGGCCTCTGGAGGCCTGAGGCAGCAGTCCGAGCTGAGAGTCATCCTCTGGAGGGAAGGGTCATTCTGATCCTTTACCTCAGCTTGAGAGGGAAGTGGAGGGTAACCACAATGCTACAAAAAAAGGCTGTCACTTAAGCACAGCAGGGGTTATATCCCCTTGACACATTATATTCAGAAGTGAAAATGTGGTCTCCTTCCCGTGTTCTTAAAGTATCCTCTACATCATCTCTATACAGCTGGAAGCTCTAGAAACCTTTTTTTTAAAAAAAGAACTTAAACTATATCTTCAGGGTCTAACTTACTTCCCTGGTGGCTCTGATGGTAAATCATCTGCATGCAATGCAGGAGACCTGGGTTTGATCCCTAGGTCGGGAATGGCTACCCACTCCAGTAATCTTGCTTGGAGAATTTCATGGACAGAGGAGCCTGGTAGGCTACAATCCATGGGGTTGCAAAGAGTTGGACACAACTGAGCAAGTAACACTACTGGAGGACAGCAAAAGGTCAAAGTGCTCCCAGGGTGCTAAGGCCACCAAGAAGACTTGGTGAAAGGAATTAGCCCGCTTAACGATAGCCTCTGTCACTTTGAGGATGTTACCTGGTGCATCTTGAAGGACATCTGTAAGTGCTGCTTCTAAGGATCCCGCTATTTCTCTAAATCTGAGAGAAAAAACAAGAATGTAAACGGCTGTTTTCTCTGCTTCAGGTGCCTCTCCCCCCAACCTCCCCCTCCCCAGGCAATAGGACCATTCTCCTGCTTGCTTGTAGGGCCAGTGCCTCAGAGATGCCCCAGCAGCCCTGATGCCTGGCCTCCAGATTTTTTTTCTTACTGAGCAGGAAATAAACTTATCTGAATTACTTGACCAGGAAGCCATTTCTGGCAAGTCCCGCCACCTATAATCAGGTAATCACTTCAGGGCCATAAGACTGGTTTTTCCAGTCCTCTTAGCTCCACACTATCAAAGAAGAAAGCAAATGTCCCTCAAACTAAGAAATGGAGAAGTTATATTCTGTATCTTTGTTTGCAGCTTGAGACATATCACTGAAAGTAGGCAGTTAAACTAGAACAAGTCTCTGCCTGGCACTCATCAAATGTCTGCTGCCTGTCTCTTGTGCTGCTATTGGTAACTGCACACCCACCCTGAGGCTCAGGATCTGCTTTCTGGATGGGTTTTCTGTTTTCTCTGCTGGGCCATTTGTCATTTCATACAGTCTTCTCATAGCCTTCTGTTTTAATACCTGATGTGGACACATTTTTATGACTGTGAAATGAAACCGTGTGTATATTCATTTCCTTAATTAGCTGCCTATGTAGCATCCTCCTTCCCACCTATATAACCCTTCCATGTTCATACTTTCTTTACCATACATTCTTCTGTCACCCACTAGTTCCCTTGCTATCAATAAATTCTGACACATACTTAACATCAATTTACCTATCCACAATCTTGGTTTTTTGGAAAGTACTTATATGCTTTTAAAAAGCAGTTCAGAGACTGATCTTCAGGAAACTGGAGAGTAAACGCAGCAGCACCTCATAGAAAGAGCAGCAGTCCTGCCCTCAAAGGCACGAGCGGCCGAGAGCAGAGGACTCTGGCCCACCCTGCCTGCTGGAGCTGGCCGCTCCCCACAGCTTCCCTGTGCCACACGCAGGAAAGAACTCAGCAACTGCCCCGTGAAGCCTGCGAAAGGCGAGTCTCTCCAAGCAGCAGGGAGAGGCCCAGAGGGAACAAGTGGCAGAAGAGAAGTGGAGGAAGAGAAGAGAGCACTGGAGAACCGCAAAGAAGGCAGTGCTCCTGAGCACACTGGGGAGGAGAGGGCAGGGGCTGCCCTGCAGTGAAGAGAGCAGACCAGCTCCTACATTCGCTTCAGACCCCGAATCCCACCGTTTGCCCACATCTGTTAACACACGAAACACAGGAAGGAAGCTTCAACACAGAAAAGGCCTGACACCAACACAGCATTGTTCAGAACGCGGAGAACCAGAAGCCACCTTCACAGCCCCAAGGAAGGGAAGGTTTCCGTAACATGCGGCACAGTTCCTACTGAATGCAGCGTGAAGAGAGGTCAGCTGGAAGTTCTGCGGCCATCAGAGGAACAGGTATAATTCAGTGTAAGTAAGGACACAGGATAAAACTGTATGTATGCCACAACAATCTGAAAACCATACAAACGAGAAAGTGCAAGACACAAATGCAGCAGACCCCTAACATTAATGCCTTTAAACAGACGTGCAGATGACGTGTGACCAGGTGTGAGATCCCTAAGACTAAAACTGTCTATGTCATGCGACCCAGCTGTCCCCTCTCCCTACCCTCCAGGAGTCCAGCACCAGCCCCTCAAGTAGCTTTGCTGGCCAGTAACTTCCAGGGTTGAGGTGTTAGGTTGCACTTCTTAGAAAATAAACAAAGTGAGATGTCACTTTGGTGAAATTTGAAAAGTTATGCTGTAGTTTTCACAGGTATAAGGGATGCCATTCTACTCTTGATAGAGGCTTTTTAAGAAAGGCAACCCCAAATACAAACACTCCTAAACTCTTCCATTTGGGTATGGGGATGATCTGGAGACACACACCCTCTCCCCCACGCACGGCTCTACTGACGCATGGACACAACTTGAGGAGGGTGGAGGGGAAGGAAGGCGCATCAGTACCACACAGACTCCACGCTGTAGGGCAGCTACACCACGCTAAGCATGTGCTGAATGGAGCAGAGAACACCCATGTGACTGTCCTGGGAGCATACACCATTCTAGCAAGAGTTCAATCAAAAAAGACATACCACTGCCTGTAGCATTTAGGGCGCTAACACCCAGCTTCCCGGCAGCCACTGATTTACTACCATTTGAAACTGCTGGGGGCCCATGTGTATTTAATCTCTTTCTATGAAAACTAATGCCTAACCCTACTTTCCAAAACTCCTGGAAGAACAAATGAAGTGTTGACACAATAGGGTGTGTTGACACAATAGGGGACCAGAGACAGAAGGGGTGCCCGTGTGCTCACAGAATGGTGGTGGTGGGAGGGGTGCCTTTTTTCCTGAAGATGATGGGGATGTCGGCACAGAGTCAGACCCGGGACTATCTGATTGCTACTGAGAGTGCAATATTAGTACCGATATTCCTTCCTAGAAATTTGCTGAAACATCACCACCCTACTGGCGTTTAGGCTTACTTTAAATGACCCTGAAGTGAATCAGACAGCAATACAGCTTTGACACCAGCCATGTTCGCAGAACATTCTGTTATCCCAGAGAATAAATAACCCAACCACTGACAAAAATCAACAGAATGGTGTTCTATAAAGTATTACTTGAATTTCTTTTTAAGTGGAAGAGCAAATGCATGGAAAACAGGTTCCACACTTCATAAAACAAACGTAACTTTTTAAATTTCATCAATTTTAAATAAAACTATTCACAAAGAAAAGCAATTCCTTTGAATGCTTATGGCTAGACTCTAGTGAAGATTAAAAATGTCTTTCATGCCCCGGCGCCCCGCCCCCGAGACCTGAAGGGGCTGGGGCTGTGGCTGCCTCAGAGCCTCAGAGTCGCGTGCGCGGGGCGTGGGGCAGTGCTGAGGAGACGAGCCTGAGGTATGGAGGCTGAGGCGAGCTAGATGCCAGAACAGTCCCGGAGCAGAAATAGCCACCGCCACCACCGCTGTCCGCAGAGCCCAGCCGAACTGGCCATGGCCTTGTCGATGCTGCTGAACGGGTTGAAGGAGGAGGACAGAGAGCCCATCATCGAGCTCTTGTCAAGGCTGGCAGTGATGGTGAAAGCATAGGAAACTGCCCCTTTTCCCAGAGGCTCTTCATGATTCTTTGGCTCAAAGGAATTGTGTCACGACTGTTGACCTGAAAAGAAGCCTGCAGACCTGCAGAACTTGGCCCTGGGGACCCACCCACCATTTATAACTTTCAACAATGAGGTCAAAACGGATGTAAATAAGACTGAAGAATTTCTTGAAGAAGTCTTATGCCCTGCCAAGTACTTAAAGCTTTCACCAAAACACCCAGAATCAAATACTGCTGGAGTGGACATCTTTGCAAAATTCTCTGCATATATCAAGAATTCAAGGCCAGAGGCTAATGCAGTTGTGGAGCAGGGTCTCTTGAAAACACTGCAGAAAGTAGATGAATATCTGAATTCTCCCCTCCCTGATGAAATTGATGAGACTAGTATGGAGGACATTAAGTTTTCCACACGTAAATTTCTGGATGGCAATGAAATGACACTAACTGACTGCAACCTGCTGCCCAAGCTGCACATTGTCAAGGTGGTGGCGAAAAAATACGCCAACTTTGATATTCCAAAAGGAATGACGGGCACCTGGAGACACCTAATTAATGCCTAC